AACAAAGCCTTTCAAAACTATTTTTGAATTAATTGAGATAATGAATTAAAACACCCATGGTGAATGTAAAATTGGTACATCTATGGAAGGCAATTTGGCACTATCAGATTACAAATGCATTTGCTCTTTGACCCTGCAGTACCAGTTCTAGAAATATATCTTGCAGATACATTCACACATGTGGGAAACACCATACGTACAAGGTTATTCATTACAGCATTGTTTGAAATAGCAAATGATTGGGAATAACCTATAAGCCATGGATAAGGGACTGGTTAAATAGATTGTGGAACATTCATACAATGGACTCTACACAGCTGGAAACCAGATCAATGTATGAAAGGGAAAGTCCCTGACATGTATTGTTAAGTGAAAAAATGCTAAGCACAGAACAGTTATAGCCAGCTACTAACCAAGAGGTTGGTGGTTCAAGCCCAGCCAGTGGGTTTGATTGCCAGTCCAAACCTGGCAATCTGTTGCCATAAAGATTACAGCCTAGAAAACTCTATGGGGCAGTTCTACTCTGTCACATGGGGTTACTATGAGTTGAAATCGACTTGATGGCACCTAACAACAACCGTTTGTATTTAAAAAAATGGTGTGACGGATAAGAATACATATCTACGAATTTGCTTGTATATTCTTGAAGAAACTCTAGAAGGATACACCGGAATCTGGTAATAACGATTATGGCGGGGGTGGGTAGATAGAGAGCTTGGCAGATGGAGATAGAGAAGGGAGGAGGACTGACTCACTAATAATTGACACAAGACCAATCCCCAAAATGCAAAGATAATTCACATACTCGCTTTACCACTTCTCCATCTCTGACACTAGCCACTCACGTGGCGTTCTCCCTCTCTCAATCCCTAACCCTCCAGAGTTAGGTCTTTTCAGAGCAACTGCCTGCACAGCCCCCTTCTGTCCACCAGCCACCCAAGACTGGTTCCTTACAAATTAGTACTCTGTCCATCTAATCAACTGCCAGATAGGCAGACACCAGGCCTGCTGACTTTCACGGCCCCTGGTGGGTTTGATAATTCACTAGAGTGAAACTCATGGAAAGGGCTATACTCACTATAACATTTTTAATATAACCACAAAAGGATATACCTGAAGAGATGCAAAGGCAAGACCTGGGAGGAGTTTTCAGCATGGAGCTGCTTGTCCCCAGAGACGCGCCAGTCCTCCTAAGTGCATCAGCAATCCAAAAGCTCAAAACAAACTCCAAGGCCCGGGGTCGTTTGTAGTAGTTACTGGGGCCTATGCATGACTGGGCCCTTAATGCATAGTCTATGATTGACTGAATCACTGATATGCATAACTCATTCCTTCAGACCCCTCCTTTTCCTGAAGTTAATTCACCAGGTGTGGTCCTTGGGCTCCCACCTCATTTGCACACATTAAAGTGCTGCTTGGCTCTTTTAGAAAAACAAAGACATCTTGGATTGCTAGGGAATTCCAAGGGCTATTTTCAGAAACCAGAGACCAAAGGCCAAATCAAATTCTTTGTCCCACAAGGACTTCTTATACATTTATTTTTAAACCATGTGAATGTGCTAACTATTCAAAATATTACATTAATTGAATTTTTTAAAATGCCTCATGGGAATAGTTAACCCAGTGACTATGATTCCCACTGAGGAGTGAAAATCTAATATTCATTCATTCAATAACCTATAACAATAGAGTGACTTCTATAGCAATAATAGTTCACAAATGTTAAACACTTACGATGCACCAGGCATTGTGCTAAGCTCTTTTATGTACATTATCTCATTTAGCATCATCACCCCCATTTGGTGCAGGTGTCTAATACTACAGAAGAGGATGAAAGAGGTTGTTCTTGCCTAAAGTCAGCTGCAAACATCCAGGCCTCACCATCCTGGGCCAGGCCCAATGCAAACACACCCCCTGACCTGTAGGAGCTAATGGTCTAGTGAGGGAGACAGATGCGCAAAATACCAGATTCACAGACAGGTGTTGAAGAGGGAAGGGAGTGCTAGATCACGGGTACCTGAGGATTAGGGGACAAAGAGAACAGAGAAGCTGAGGACAAGGAGAAAACCTCTCCCACGACACCCTTTTGCCAAGGACAGGCTCTGTAAGCAGTTGTGGAACTCGTCAGCGCTTACGTGGGAGACAACCCCTGCAGCTTCAGAACCAACAATGAACAAAGGCTGCCTGATGGTCTCTGGGAACAGAGCAGATCTGACAACAGCCTGGCCTATTTCATCAGTGTAGACATCCCTCTGGACTTGGAAGCCTAAAGTGCTCGCCTTTAGCTGTCTACACAGATCAAATAAACTGGATGATTGCCATATCTGGACTTCACTTTGTGCAAATCCATAATGACAGCCATCTCCACAGCAGTCCTACCAAAAACCATGTGAGCAGAGGGAAAAATAATTCTCACAGGCAAAGAGAGACAGTTCCAAGATGCTAACATTAACTCCTTTCAGGAGGTAGTGGTTTTGAAATTAGTTTTAGGAAGCTTCAGAGAAGGAAGCTTCTGCCCCTCTCCAAAGTGAACTGGCAAAACTATTTTATCTCCTTACAGTTAAACCCTTCACATTCCAGGGCCAAGATGTGAACACACCCATAGGGGTTGACAAGAAATAGCTAGTCTAGCTCTCAAAAAGGCAGCCCCACACTGAAGAACATCCCTGGGTAGTGCAACGGTTAAGCGCTCAGCTGCTAACCAAAAGGTTGGACATTCGAGTCTACCCAGAGGTGCCTCAGAAGAAAGTCCTGGTGATCTATTTGCGAAAAGTCAGCTGTTGGACACCGTATGAGTTACAGTTCTACTCTGACACACGTGGGGCCGCCATGAGTCAGAATCAACTTGATGGCAACTGGTTTGGTTTTTTGGTGCCCTGAAGAACAGGGATTATCCGACTTCACAAGCAGCTTTTTATTCATAGGATAATTCTAGGGGAAATCTTACTCCAGTTCCCTTAGTCCTCAAGGGAATATATCAAACAGTAGTGAGAATCTCAAGAAATCCTTGTTATAGACTGGTAGGATCAGGCATCGAACAACAAACCTAGAAGCCAAGTGGCATGATTAAAAAAGATTAAAAATCTACATGAGTTCTAACATCTACGTTCCTGGCTGTGGTTTCCATGGAAATAGACATCCGCTCTAAGGGGAAAGCAGAGGTGGGGGGAAGCAGTGTAAGTGCTTCAAAATAATCAGTGTTTTGAAAGATTTATTTTTTTTCCTGTCACAACATTAAAAGTCAGAAGTGTGAGATTCTTCTGTGGCAATGTCTTGTATTAAAAAATATATATATATATGCATTACATGGGTGGGATCTTCTGCAAACCTCCAGATCAAGTACACAGACTTCGAGATAAAAGGCTGGTTCAGGGGATAATAGGCCCTTTGACCTTGGGCTCCCTGATCATTTGTGTGCCTGCCAATCTGTCACTTTTTCAGCCAGGTCTTATCCCCACCCTTCTCCAGCTTTTCTAACAATTTCTGAGATACCAGAACACTGACAGATGGAAACACCTGGCCGTTTCATGGCTAAGTTTGGTCTGAGAGGGAGAAGCTTTTCAAGGCTCAGAATCTGAATTATTCCTGGTCCTGCTCACATGCTATGGGAAAACCACTTAGATTGGCTGGGGGATGCCGACCCCACACAAGAGCAGATTGTTGGGGAAAATGCTGCAACAAGCATATTTCAGGCAACAGTGCATTGCTGATTGTTTGCTTTGTGTGGTGGGTCTGCTGTCTGTGTGATCCAGTTTTAATTGTCCCAGGCACCTGTTAAGTGTATTTTTATCTCTGGCGCATCCCTACTATGACCTAGACATTGGGAGTGTCTTTTTTTTTTTTTTTTTTAAATTAGGACTGTTGTTTCTGGAGAGTTGGTCGTACTTGCTTTTGGATTTTGGGAAACAGCGCCCATTGATTAATAAAATGAAGTGTCCTTCTCCCTAGTTGGGACCACAAAGCAGGTGCCCTGGTATGATGACCACCACCTGAGGACATAGCCTTGGTCTGGGAACCATGATTTTATTTATTTTTCCTCTGACCTTTATGCGGGAGGGAGAGAGGCCAGTCATTCTAAGATAGCCAGGGTCAGACCAATTTCCTTTGTGCTTCCGCTGTGTTTCTGATCTATCTAGGCCAGGGGGGAATAGTGACCTTGTGGTTCCTTTTGTTTTGATTCTTAAAAAAAGCCCAGCACGCTCAGGGGAGCACGTGCTCTAAGAACAAAAGCGACACTTAACTGCAGCCTCTGTAGTCTAGAACTGCTACTGCTATTGCTTCCCTATCATCAGGCAAAGGCTTGGCGGAACAGATGGAGTCTGCATTTAAGCCTAGTGGCTTTGTTAGACCAGAGGAGATCAAATTCCAGAGCCTCATGCTTTTTCTCCTACAGGTCCCTGGCCACTAGTTCGGCGACCCTGGGATGGTATCGAGAACGCACACGGTGGGGAGGGCCACGCCCGTGACTTGTTAGGGCTGAATGGGATAGGGATTATGATGATGTCACAATACAGGTGACACGCAGGTGTCCGGCGTACGGCACTGGAGGGGGGTGGGAAGGGGGCCATGAAAGGTCGTGGAGTGGCACTGTCCTGTCACAAGGGCTCGGGTGTCTTAGGTGGCGGCACGGGATGGGGGACCAGAGGGAGGACTGCTGTCCAAGTGCAGCCCTTGGGGCAATGAAGGGCACGTGGCTCGGCAGAGGCGGAGTCCAGGCTGCCACCGTCTAAGAGGTAGGGAGGGACCCCGCCCCGTCCTTTTCCTAGTGATGGAAGACCTAGTTCGGACCCACTCTGTGGCCACGGCAACGCCCGCTTCCGGAGCGAGACCAACCGCCCCAGCCCTTCGTTCACACCTGGGGAGACCCCCCCCCGCCTCTCGCATTGTCCTCCAGCCCCCTCCCAGCCTAAACTACACTTCCCGAGGTGCTCCGGGGTCCAGAGGGGCGGGGCCCCTCTTGGGTTGTGACGGGGAGGGGCCGGCACGTGCCGCCCCTCTCAGCCAATGCAGAGTCCTGCAAGGAGGTCACGTGCCGCTGTTTGGCGCTTTTGTGCGCGCCGGGGTGTGTTGGTGCTCAGAGTGTGGCCAGGCGGCTCGGACCGAGCAGGTGGGTGCAAGGCTTTCAGGAGGAGGAACGACTGAGGGCAGCGAAAGGGACGGAGCTGGCAAGAGGGGCTTGGCAGTGGCAGCGGCCCCCTGCTGGAGGCTAGCAGGCGGGGCCGCGAGCCCAAGAGGAGTTGGCGGGCGGGGGTCGCTGCGCTTTGTGTGTGATGCGGGCGGAGCAGCGGCTTTGTCCTGGCTCCCTGGGGGGCGCGGCTCTCTTGGGAAGGGGCGCGGCCAGCTGGACGAACTCGGCGGCAGCCTTGGGGTCTATCGAGGAGACAATAGGGGGCGTGGGCCTTCGTTGTCTCCCTGTCTCTGCGAACGCAGCCTCACCGGGTTACTCTTTGTCTGAAGGGGCAGGGCGGCCCCCAGGGATTAGTGGCTTTAGGGCCGAGTTGCGGGCCTCCAGCGCTGGGCCGCTTGCCCATAGTCGCAGTCGCTTTCACCCGGCGACTGAGAGGCCGCACCTGGGGGGACTGACGCCCTAAAAGAATGCTCCTGGCCGTGCTGCCGGGTGCGCGTACAGCTTGGGCGTCGACAGTTTGGGGGTGGGGGCGATGGAAGGAGGTATCTAGCCTGCTCCCAGGGAGGGGGTGTCCCGGGGTCCGCTCCACCCGCTGAGTTGCGGCGGCGGCGCCCTTGAGGTGATTTTGGCGGGAGGAGGGGGGGCGTCAGCGCGGGGGCGAGCCCGGGAAGGGCGGAGATGCCCGGGTAGGACCGTTAGCCCCTCCCATCCCTCCCCTTCCCACGCGCGCGCGCTCCGGGGTGCTGAGAGTTCCGGGAGATTCGAAAAGGCGCGGGGAGGAAGGGGGCGGGGCCAGGCGCCTGAGCTCAGGGTGAGCTTTCATTGGCTGGGGGTGGCTTGCCGCTTTTCCTCGCCTGGGCTAGGGCCACGCCCATCCTGGGGCAGGTGCTGCGTCCACTACTGTACCCCGTTTTGACGATTTAGCTGTCCCTGATTTTAATCTCTAGCAGTTGGGAATCTATGTTCTTACGATATTGCTACTAGCCTGGGATCTCTTAAGAATTATTACCTTAAAAAAGTTAATAAGGGAGTTGGGTTTTCTATGACATAAGGTAGCAAATAAAACCTAAACGTTTATAAAGCTAATTACTGCCAGCTATTAGGCAAGGAGCTTAAAGCCTAGAAACAATAGGAGTCGAACATTATTGGTTAATACTAGCTTGGGCGTTTTGTTGTCCACCGTGGCAGACACAGACAAAGCAGGGGTGGGTATTTCATTTGCACAATGAGTTTCAGACAGTGTTAAGATGGCTCCGATCTCACTGTTGTGAGTTGAATCTGGAATATCGTCTCGCTATTTGGAAAAAAAATTCAAGAGCTTATTGGAAAAAAATCCTTCAACCTTGTGGCTTAACCTCATCTAATTTTAAAGATCCAAGAGTTGTTTTTAGAGTGTGTAAGCTCGTGTTATATTCAGTTCAAATTTCCAAATATGTTTCAGTATTTTATAGATTCTCGTGATTTTCTTTCCTGGTTTATTATGTCTTATTTAATACCATGGTAGTGATTTTTCTGACACTGATTTATGTGGGTGTGGTTTGAGGTCCCTTTGTATCGATGGCATACAGAAATGCACGGAAATTGATTGCATGCTTTTGAAAATCGTTTTCAGGGTTTTCCTTACCAGTGGATTGCATAGAATATACTGCCAGTCTCTTCTGTTCACCATGGCTTCTTCTGGTAGGTAATCTATTTGGAAAAGCTGAAACTGTGATGGGCTTATAGTTTTAGAATAGGAAATGGCTCAGGTTTTAAAGATTTTCGTTTGGAACTTGTGTTTTGGTCTTATCAAAAAACCTATTTTATGAATAGGAGAATAAAGAAGAAAAGCAAGACGGTTATTGCTTGAATGTCCTGAGAGCACGTAATTTTTTCATTGTTAGGCTACTTGGCTTGGTCTAAAGCAAAACCGGAGTTTTGCACGAGAATTTCTTTTGTTTATTAAAGTGATCGTCAAATACTGATGTTGCAAAGTGATATTTATTAATCTAAAAATGCTGAGCTTTTTTTTTTGGGAGGTGGACTTCAGATAATAATTTCTTATCTATAAACTCAGTTTCTTTATCAGCCCTAATTATAGTCGTTAATTTGATTTGGTTTTTAGAAAAATTATACAATGATAGAATAGGAGACGCCCATTTTTCTGAATGCATTATAAATATGATCCACTCCAGATATCCAGGTGAAAGAACTGGAGAAGCGTGCCTCAGGTCAGGCCTTTGAGCTGATACTCAGCCCTCGTTCAAAAGAATCTGTCCCAGAATTCCCCCTTTCCCCTCCAAAGAAGAAGGATCTTTCCCTGGAGGAAATTCAGAAGAAATTAGAAGCTGCAGAAGAAAGACGCAAGGTAAACGTCAGAATTCAGAGAAAACAGGATATTTACTAACGTAATATAACAGATCAGTTTTATTTCCATACAGGAAGAAAATGGAATTGTAGCTACACAATGATTATTACTATGTGAAAGTTACATATGCCAATGCTGGAAGAAATACCAGCCGTCATTTATTACGTGCCAGCTCCTTTACTTATACTTTTCTCCTTTAATACAGTGACCCTACAAGGCAGATGTTGTCTAAGGTATGGAGATTAGAAAACAGTCTCGGGAATGAATGTTAAGTCATTTTCCCAAAGTCACGCAACTAGTTAAGTGTTGGAGCCAAAATTTAAGCCCAGGTCTGTCTTAAACCAACGCTCATACTTCTCATGCTTTCTTTGTAAAAAAAAGTAGAACGTTTGTTGGTGGGATGATTTTTTTTTTTCTTTGTCCTTTTGGTCTCTTGTCCCTTTGTGGTTTTTGTTTTAATTTTTTTGAGAGCTATACAATAAAAACATTTTAAATTGCTAGTCATGTGGTTGTGTTGCTTAACTAATATTGTGGCAGCTTTTTCCTTATCTAAGCAATTCTCTTATAAGTAGACATCTTTAAGAAGAACTAAGAAAAATCAACAACTAATTAATGTGCTTATAGAAAAATTGGGAAACAGAAAGTTATAAATAAGAAATTAAAAGTATTCATAATCGTACTTCCCAGAAATAACCACTGTTAACATTTTGGTGTATTTCCTTCTGGTCAACATTATTCTACTGATTAAGAACTTTACATAAATTACCATTTAGATCTCCTCCTTCACAACCCTGATTGGAGGGTGGGTTTGATTTTAAAGATGAGGAAACTAAGGCAGAAAAAGGTAAAGTAGTGACCAGCCTGAGACTACCCAACGAGTGAGATTTGAAGTCTAGTACGTTTAAGTGGGCTCTCACATGCGTACACAGACATATACGCATACGTAACCAGTTGCTGTCGAGACTCCTGGCAGCCCCATGTGTATCAGTAGAACAGTGCCCCATAGGGGTTTCAGTGGCTGATTTTGCAGAAAGAGGTCGCCAGACTTTCCTTCTAAGGTGCCTCTGGGTGGACTCCACCCTCTAAACTTTGGGTTAGCCAAGCTTGTTAACTGTTTGCACCACCCAGGCACTCCATACACATATATAGGCCCCTTTTTAAGCTTCTGTAGCAAGTGCCATGCACCCTTCAGTACCCTGTGTTAATGTGCATGTGCATTGACCCGTGTCAACACTGTAAACCATTTCCCCAGTAAGAGCGGCAGTGTTTGCCCTGTGCCTTGTCTCCTGCCTGCTCTCCTATGTAGTTTGCGTTCATAGAGTAAAAGGGCAACCAAAAGCTGGACAGAGGGAACTTTTTTTTAGGAATCAACCCTGGCCCTGTTGGCATTAGCCTGTGCTTTACATAGTAACTGGCTAAATATAGTGAAACTCTTATGACTGAGATTTTACAGAAAAGAATTAACAGAACCAGTGGCAGTTGTAGCAGATGCTCTGTAGTTGTCCTGGAAGTCAGTGCTTCCAAACACGTCTGAATCTGTTCGGTAACAAGCTATTCCGAGTCTCTTGTTGAAGGAGGCACACCGTGGTAACAACTCCACTGGGCTGGAAGTTGGTATGTCTTCCATAGATAAAGGCTAATACGCCTTCCCTTAAAACAGAAATCCCACTGGCTTAAATAGTAATCTCTAGAGGCTTAGTCTTAAATTTTTTATCATTCACATACTTTCCTTACCAATTATGATTAATTATTTTCATAATGACCTTGTTTTCTTTGGGTAGCCTAAAATTTTCTATGCTAAAGCTCCATTCCTAAGTGCCTATCACTTAAATCACCTTGATGCCATTAGGTAGTAAATCTTACTAGGATTTTCTTCAGGAATAATTGGGCAAGAGGTCCCTGAACAAATACGGGCAGTTTTCCAAAGTAAATACAAACACTAGAAAAGAATATGATTTTCACAGTATTTTATGGTAGGAATAATTCAGACCCTGATTTAGAAGTATTTAAAGGGACTTGATTTTCTGCCTCTTTTCAATCCTCTGATAAATTTCTGTTGTGATTTTAACTAACGCTAAGTTCGTTTCAGAGAGCCTAGCCTGTTGTAAACTCTTTTCCCAGTCTCATGAAGCTGAGGTCTTGAAGCAGCTTGCTGAAAAACGAGAGCATGAGAAAGAAGTGCTTCAGAAAGCAATAGAAGAGAACAACAACTTCAGTAAAATGGCGGAAGAGAAACTGACCCACAAAATGGAAGCCAACAAAGAGAACCGAGAGGCGCAGATGGCTGCCAAACTGGAGCGTTTGCGAGAAAAGGTTGGCTTCTCCTTGCTTTGTAGAGAGGTTAAGAGCTTAAAGTTTGAGGCACCAATGAAATGGTTTGAACTGATTCCCTTGATAAAAGGTGTTTGTGTATTTTTGTTATCAGTTGTGGGGCCTAACATGTAAAATGAGAGGTACTTTATTTTAAAATAAAATGGAATATACAATAATTTCTAATATAATTGTGTGTTCCTTTGAAGAGCAGTAGTAGGAAGTTTAGTCATTAGGTTCCACGAGTGACCCAGGAGATTCGAAGATGATGTCTTAAAACTCTTAATTACGCGATTCCCAACAGGCTCTAATACATACGTTCTGAGGGGCCATTACTTAGCAGGCTTTTTTATTTGACTGATTGTATTTACGTACTCTTTCTTTATAGGACAAGCACATCGAAGAAGTACGGAAGAACAAAGAATCCAAAGATCCTGCTGATGAGACTGAAGCCGACTAATTTGTTCTGAGAACTGACTTTCTCCCCTTCCCCTTCCTAAGTATCCAAAGACTGTACTGGCCAGTGTCATTTTTTTCCCCCCTCCTGACAAATATTCTAGAAGCTGGTAGGACTGTATAGGTAGATCCAGACCGTATGATGTTGTTTTAGGGGCTAAAGGGGAGAAACTAAAAGTGTTTGACTCTTTTTCTAAAGTGTTGAGGTCTTTCTAATGTAGCTATTTTTCTTGTTGCATCTTTTCTACTTCAGTACACTTGGTGTACTGGGTTAATGGCTAGTACTGTATTGGCTCTGTGGAAACATGTTTGTGAAAAGAGTATGTAGTGGCTTCTTTCAAAACCGTTAGATACTGAATATCTGTTCACTTTTAAATCCCAGTTCTTTCCCAGTTTTACCAGATGCTACTGTACTTGAATGGTTAATAAAACTGCACAGTGCTGTCGGTGGCAGTGACTTCTTTCTGTTCAGGTAATTATCAAGCTATAGAGACTCTCATCTATATTTGTTTCAGATGGGACCTCTGGGCTGGTGGAAACACCCAGCATCCACATTACTGCAAATTCTCTGCCCTCAGAGTTTCTTGCTCCAGAGTTGTTTGCATTGTCTTCTTCCACAATCATCGCTTTGTTTTGATGCCTTGGCCTAGATCAGCTGTTAGTATATTCTTTCAGATGTTTATTTGCAAACAAGCGTTTTTTTGTTCCCGTGTCCCTGTTAAAAGGCAGATTAAAGGCACAAATGGTATTTCTATATAACAGTTAAAATCTTAAAATCCTAGTTACAGATATTTGACAGTTTATTTGCTTTATGTTACATATTGAGGACAGGAGTGTGTCCTAATACTATTCTACCATAGAAACTATGACTTAAGAGTTAAAATATTATTAATAAAACTTTCTGTGTTGCTGTAGCAACTCCTATACAGTGATGAAAAGGAATCTTATTTTCCCAAGTAGCATTTGACTTAGATGATTAAAGTTGGCAGTGACTTCATCTTGCACCCAGATGCTATGATATTCACCCTTTTCAGAGCATTGCCTCGCCGTTCATGGAAAGCCTTTGGCAGCTTTCCTCTGCTGTTTGGGAAATAGCCTTAATTACATAAGCTTGTTTGCTTCTCCAACATCTGTATAAAAGCGCTCAGAAGCCAGGCGCTAGGTGTTTGCAGGATGACTGCCGATAACACAGTGGGTCTGCACGATGCTGATGGCATGCTCCTCTGCAGCGCTGATTTTTCCTGGATTTGGGTTTTATGGAACTTATTTATGAGGATAATAATAGCCTACCTCAACCTACCTCATTGTTAGAATTAAATGAGTTTGGTGTGTGTGTTTGTAGAGAGAACAAGCAAGCCCCTAAAGCAGGGCCTAGTGCGTATTTAGCACTATCTGTAAATAATGATCACTGTTTTCAGCAGAGGCTAGTGAGTGATCTGTTTATCCTCTTGAATTGGAAATGATTATGCAGCTTTTGTGTGCCTTGAATTGACTTCTAAATTTAACTTAGACCAGGATGATCAATTGTAGGAGCTCTGGAAAAGCTGAATTAAAAAAGTTAGGGCCACGTAGGTCAATAGAAACAAGACGAAATGTAGTTTAAACAAAAGGTCCAGACACTATCTACACAGGCAGGACAAGTGACGCTTGTGTGCGGGTACTCAGCATTATTCATCCTTGGACCCTCAGTCTCTGGCACATGCTAGATGTTAAAGCTTTGCATGGTGAGATGGTACTTACTGGTAATCTTTAATAGAAAAGCACCAGTTCTGAGTAGGTGAAACTATAAAGATGAAATTTGTGGTAATGATACTAGGTGGCCTACAGATGGCAGTAAACTTTTGCTTAAACAGGACGTGTAGGGAAGGGAACAAGGAGCCCTGGTGGTGTAATGGTTAAGCAGCTAACCAAAAGGTTGGTGGTTTGGATGTACCCAGCAGTTCCTGGGAAGAAAGGCCTGGTGATCTGAAAGGTCACAGCCTTGAAAACTTCATGGAGTGTAGTTCTGTTCTGCACATATCAGGTTGCTGTGAGTCGGAATTGACATCAACTGCTTTTTTTTTTTTTTTCTTTTGAGTTAGGGAAGGGAATAGCTCAGGAAGAAGCAAAAAAGGGTCAATATGGGCCTGAGGGAGGATAGTCCAGTTAGTTGCAACCAACACCATGAAGGGGATGTATCTTCATCCACAAAATCAGAAGCCCTGACCTTTGGAGAAGTACTTGGTCCTGGGCCTCAGTTTTTTTTTCAGATAAAACGAGAAGGTTGGGCTAAGTCAGTTATGTAACTTCTGATCCAAAATTCTTTGCATACAACTTGGAGGGAAGGAGGAATGGTGGGTAGCCATGAGCTTCTGGGGAGTGTCTGTCTGCATTCTTACCGAGGCCTGGGTGTTCTGGCGTTAGGAGTGTACCTCCACCCCAGCAGGGCCATCTTCCTGGCGGTGTTACTGTCATAGATTAGTCTTGAAAGGTCAGAGTGGTTTGACTGCAGCTTGAGGACTGTCACCAAGGAGCAAAACTCCATTCCCTTTGGCCTGAGTGGAAATGAGGCTTGTCCCTTCTTCCTGAGGCTTTTGTACTTGGATATCCGTGATTGACTGGCCTCATTAGAAAAAAGATTTGAGGGTGTGAAGGAGGCCCTTAAATGAACGTTTAACAAGCCTCTTGTATGTGCTCACAGTGAGCTATGTGCTAGAGAAGAAAAGAACGTGAAATGGGGTCTCGGCACATCGTGTGCTTACTCATGAAGCGGGGAGGAGAGTTAGAGAACTTCTACCTGAGAAAGATGTTCTCAATGCTTAATATGCACAGAATTGCAGCATACTTGGAAAACCAGCCATCTTTACTAGCTCATGGCAGACTCTCAGTCAAAGTCCCCTCTTCCTTCATTTCCTTTATCCTAAGCAGTAGAGACCCTTAGAAGGCTTTTGAACAAGGGGTAGTAGTGGTTGGTGCATGAAGCCATTTTGAGGAAGAGGAAATAGAGGTAGGTGCATGGTGAATTGACTAGAGAAAATGCTAGCGAGACCACAGCGGGAGACTGTTGGAGCCTACAGGGCTGAGGCGATGAGGGCCTGAACCAGAGGAGGGCGATGTGCTCTGGAAGGATGGATGTGACAGACACTGTACTAGAGAACTTAAACTTCCTGCTGACCATGGGAAACGGGAGAAGACATAAACCATTCCACAATTGACTGGAAAAATGGTGCCAGTAGTAAGAACTGCTGTTTAGTGAGCATTTCCAGGGTCCTCAGGACTAACTGTGAGGTAGGTGGGATTATCATCTCCATGTTACAGAGAGAGAGAACAGGTTTAGGGTGGTTATGTAGCTCACCGAAAGTCCTAAGATAGTAAGAGAGTCTAACCCCAGCCTTACTCCAGGCCCTGCACAGGGAGGGGGATGGCTCTGGCAGTTCATTGTCTCTTCTATTGTCCTAAACAATTCCCCTCCACCCCAGACCTGCACAGCAAACTCAACAAACAAGTTGAAGCCCTGAATTTCGCCAGTGCCACCCTCCTTAAAAAGGCAGTTAGTGACCATCTTTTCTTCTGGCATGCCCTTGGGTAGAGCTCCCAGTCCCCACCTACTTCATAAAGATGATCCTTTCTACTATGTTTATTATTTTTCTGGAGGGGAGTTGTGACTTCCGGTGATGTTTTAGCATGCTGTGTAAATCTGTGCTCCCAGACAACCATAACAAGCCTTACTATTAATCCAGCTGGCATATTTGCTGTTAAATTTTACTCCCCAATTCTGCATTCCCACACTAAGGATGACATGATAGCTGGGTTCCTTATAGAGGAGCTTATCCCTTTGGGTGGGAGGTTGGGTTAGGTGCTCTGGAAGTCCCCTTTCCAAATCCAAGATTAAGACCCTGTGATTCTAGGTCTTCTTTACCTGGTTAGAATGCAGACCCTCTGAGATCTCAAGGACTGCGTCTTGGACACTGAAGATTTCTCTCACTGAACTACAGTGTCCCAGAAACATCACTGGTGAGCCAAGTCTTCAGTCTCTTAAACTATCTGCCTCCTCCCTCTTAGCCCAGGTCAAACAGAAGGTCCCAAAGTGACCGTGTGACTGAGGCCTCTGCTAGAGGTATTCTGCATATAAAAAGCACAAAGGTGGCTTTCTGACTTCAGCATGCATCCATTGTAGGGTCTGTCTTAGTTATCTAGTGCTGCTGTAACAGAAATACCACACGTGAATAGCTTTAACAAAGAGAAATTTATTCTCTCACAGTTTAGGAGGCTAAAAATCCAATTTCAGAACTGGGAGCTCCTAAAAATCAAACACTTAAGCTCATTAAAAGACTTCACCAAAAGAGTGGAAAAACAACCTACAGACTGGGAAAAAATTTTTGGCTATGACAAATCCGATCAGCACCTAATCTCTAAAATCTACAAGATACTGTAAAACCTCAACAAAAAGACAACCCAATTAAAAAATGGGCAAAGAATATGAACAGGCACTTCACCAAAGGAGACATTCAGGCGGCTAACAGATACATGAGGAAATGCTCACGATCATTAGCCATTAGAGAAATGCAAATCAAAACTACAATGAGATACCGTCTCACCCCAACAAGGCTAGCATTAATCCAAAAAACACAAAATAATAAATGCTGGAGAGGTTGTGGAGAGACTGGAACACTTAAACACCCCTGGTGGGAATGTAAAATGGTACAACCATTTTGGAAATCGATTTGGCGCTTCCTTAAAAAGCTAGAAATAGAAGTACCATGTGATTCAGCAATCTCACTCCTTGGACTGTAAGAGAAATAAGAGCCATCACACGAATAGATACACACACACCCGTGTTCACTGCAGTACTGTTCACGATAGCAAAAAGATGGAAACAAGCTAGAGGTGGGGTGAATTGACTGGAGAGAGGATCCTATATTCTCTGCCCCAGGACACCAGATCTTACTGGAGGTAAATGAGGAGACCCCACAAGACCTAGCTGCTGAAATGGATAAAGGGAGAAGAAAGAGGGAGATCAGCCAACTGCCCCATCACTGCCATCTCAGCAGAATGGTGACTGAAGGAAAGACAGAGCCTCTGCAACTGCAGGCACCTTCTGGGCCTGGGGCTTCCAACCCCTGGGGCCTCTTGCTCCCCAGACTGGCAAAAGCCCCAGTTTTCACTGGGATGGGGAAATGGTGGGGATGGTAGCTCCCCACCTAGCCCGTCTTACATGCTCTCGCAGCTTTCTGTACTCTTGGCAACCCCACGTGTGCAGATTAGAACTGCACTCCATGGGGTTTTCTTGGCTGTATTCTTTACAGAAGCAGATTGCCAGGCCTTTCTTCTGTGGTGCCACTGGGTGGGTTTGAACCACCAACTTTTAGGTTCGTAGTCAAGCACAAACTGTGCCACCCAGGGATCTTCTCTGTGCTTTACAGCAGCAGCTAACATTTATTTGCATTATCTCAATGAAGCCTCAGAACAGCCTTATGAGAGTATTATGCCCATTTCACAGGTGAGAAATGAAGCAACTGAGGCTTAGATTAGGTGTTTTGCCCAAGAAGACATAACTAGCAAGTGGTGGAGTCAAGATTCACACCTGAATTTTTAACCCTCCCACTGTACTACAGCTCTTCCCGTTATCATAATTGAAACTCATTAATTGTATACGGTTATTTTTTCAAGTCTGTCTCCCCAGCCAGACCATAGGGTTCCTGAGAGCTGGAGTGTGTATGACACATTCACCACTGAAGTCCAGCACCGTGCCTGGCACATGGTGGGAGGTTATGCATGTGTGCTGAGTTAAATAATTACTAGTGGTAGGTGACTCCTGTGGCTCTGTGTGCACCCCATAGGGAGTCAACTAGATTTTCTAAAAGCAAAAGATGGCTCTGCCTTAGCTTTGCAGGGGGGTCTTCGAGGTGTCTACTCATTAAGGGCATCCTCCTAGATCC